TGTTTCCATCTCTTAAGGATTTCCCTTAAAGCAGAAGGTTTTTTGCTGTAGCTCTGAGGGCACCTGCAGTTTATTTCCAGGAACTCTTGGTAGATAATATCCATATAAAAAAAAACAAAGAAGGAGAAGATGACCCCAAGTCTGAACAAGCAGCAAAGCTGCCCAGAAAGCACCAAACCCCCAGGAATCACTGACCTCCAGCTGCAACTTGAGGTTGTTAGCAGTGCTCCCTCTGCCATCGCCCAGCTCCGTCATCCAGATCCAGAGCAGAGACAGCCCGTGGCACTCCAGGAAGGACTTGAGGCAGGACTGTGAGTGTGTGTTCTGCAGGAGCCAAAAGCAGAGAGAGAACCCATGGGAGTGCCAGGGACTTAAGAGGGGAGGAAAAGCCCTGGAATTCTACCAGCTCCACTGCTCTTATGGTGCCCACCCAACCCAGCCCAGCAGCCAGAACTAGGCGCCTGTCCGGGTCCAGTGTCATCTACATGGCCCAAGGTGGTGGCTCTGGAGCAGAACTGACACAACCACTCCCTGGTGGACAGCTCATCCTGAGGGAAACTCAGTGAACTGGCTGCTACCAGTGAGGGAAACACACAGGAAAACCTCAGAGAGGAGCCAACTGTGAGTTTAGGTGACAATCTACTCGCTCCCTTCTAGAATGGTGATTTTCAACTCAAAGAGGGAGATTGAGACTAGAGAGAAGGGAGAGATGTTGTACACTGAGGGTGGTGAGCCCCTGGCCCAGGCTGCCCAGAGAGGTGGTCACTGCCCCATCCCTGGAACCATCCCAGGGGAGGTTGGGGGGGCTCTGAGCACCCTGCTCTAGCTGCAGATGTCCCTGTCCCTGCAGGGGGGTTGGACTCAGTGACCTCTCAAGGTCCCTTCAACCCAAACCAGTCTGAGTCTGTGATAAACTCCTGTGTACAAGGAATTTATCTGCTTCTAGAAAGGGCCATTTGGCACCACCACTCAGGCTGAGTTCCACCACATCTCCAGGGAGCAAAGGATGGAGATGACACAAGATCCCTGAAGGCAGCAGAACCTCTCAGCTCGCCCTTGGGAGGCTGGCACCAGCGTGAGACCTTCCTCCCACCCTCCCCTTCCTCCTCTAACGAGAGCAGTAGGGACGTTGCTTTCAGAGGACGTGGATCCCTCCCCTTCAGCAGGGACCTCCTCACCTGGATGAGTTTGAGGCAGGTGAGCTTCTGCTCCAGCGTCTCGATCCGCACCATGAGCCGGGACAAGCTGAGCACTTGGTTCTTGTCAGAGAGGCCCTCACCATTCTCCAGCAGAGCTTCCAGCTCCCCATCCACCTACCACAGCCAGAGACAAGACAACCCTCAGGGTCACACCCTTTGTGCCAGCACAGACAACCCACCCCCTTGGCTCTGAGAGCCAGGAGAAGCCTCTCCTGAGCAATCTGCCCACTAATCCCACTCAGCGTGGTTGGGTTTCTTTTCTCTGCCCCATTATGGGGTTTTTAGACCTCACATCTCATACTGGAGCTGCCTGTTCCCACCAGTGTTGTTCATACTGGGGATGGAGGGCAACCAGTTGCCCTCCTGGCTGGCACACACACCCCCCAACAGGCAGGAAACCCCCAACCCCACCAGCCCTTCCCCCTAACACCACGTTTTAGGTGTGACACAATTAACACTGTGTGGAGGAAATTCCAAAACACTCCCAGTGGCAAGTGGATCTTCTGACAGAGGAAAAGCAGATGTGCACTAGGAGATTATCTCCAACTGCAGATGGATTTACTGCTTTATACACTAACAGGTATTTATCATCTTTCCAACCAGAGGCAAATTCCTCACTGAAATTTTTTCCTCTCCTCATTGAATTTCTTTTCCTCATTGAATCTTTTTCCTCTCCTCATTGAATCTTTTTCCTCTCCTCATTGAATCTTTTTCCTCTCCTCATTGAATCTTTTTCTTCTCCTCATTGAATCTTTTTCCTCTCCTCATTGAATCTTTTTCTTCTCCTCATTGAATCTTTTTCTTCTCCTCATTGAATCTTTTTCTTCTCCTCATTGAATCTTTTTCTTCTCCTCATTGAATTTTTTCCCTGTCCTCACCCAAATATAAAGATCCATGATTGAACCTACTGCTCAATGCCACCAATGAGCCTTTTAAAACACCCTATAAATGGCTTATAAATCATTTCTCAGCCTCCCCACTCTCTGCTACACTAAATAAAAATGAAGGTGGCATTTTTAGAGGTAGCTTCTCCCAAAAGAGCAGGTAACAGATCTTATCAGGAGCAACAGAGGTTTGTATCTTCAAGGGCAGAACAACCACATCTCCTAGGCAGCAAAGAGCCTGTGCAGTTTCTTGCAGCCATCTGCACCCAAAAAACTCCTTCTGAGTTCTTTGCTTAGGCTTCTCCACCTAGAGAAGGTTTTCTAGAACCCATCCCTGCAATTCACCACGGGGAGCAGGTTCACAGAACCACCTGAGGAGGATTAAGTGCATGAAAAGCTATAAAAAGACAAGAAGAAATGGGGATGGAAGTTAAATATTTCATCCATGTCCATCCACAGGCACAAGAGCAGCTGAAGGCAGCCTGACACGTTCCTACAAGTCCCTCCTGGAAGCTCACTTGCCTCTAGCTCAAAACAATGAAGAGATTCCAATTTCCCAGCTCAGCCTGAAGGTGACAACCAGCACCAGATTTCAGGGGATGTCCTGAACAGTGGAGCCACTGTTACACCCACATCTCCAGATTTTCACAGCCACGTAGAGTTTAGTGGTTCTTAGCAGCATGATGAGCAAATATTGTACCTGGGCAAGTCCCCCTCTGGAGGGACTTTGTGCTGAAGAACCCAGAGAAAGGAAACACAGATTTCAATAACCCTCCAAGAGCACACAAGGCTTGAGGGCTCCTCAATAAAACGCCACTAAACGGAAAACCCTCAACCTTGAGGTCCTCACCAGCTGCTGAGTGCAGGAAACGACTGCAGAGCTGACCTCAAGACTCACCCAGAGAGAGGACCAAGCCCAGGGTGAGCCCTTGGCTGCTGCTGCAGCTCTCTGAGATGAGCAAAGCCCTGACAGGAGGGGGGGGGCTGGGCTCACCGAATCCTTCTTCCGCGAGCGCTCCTTCTTCATCTTGCCGCCTGCAGCACGGATGCTCACCCTGTTCTCCCCGCCCAGGTACCCCCGGCAGTTGGCTGAGCCACAGAAACATTTCTGAGCCTCTTTGCTGTTGGGGGAAGAAGCAACAGAGGAGTTTAATTAAGGCTCCACAGCACCCACAGCCTGATCTTTTCCACGGCTCTTCGGCGCGGGCTCGGGAGAAAGGGAAGGGAAGTTCTGCATGTGGCAAGGGCCTCCTGGCCACCAACAACTCCAACAGCTCTTTATTTCTGGCATAGCTACCATGGAGCCAGGTTGGCTCAGCTGGAAAGCAAAGCCTGCCTCCCTTCCAGGCTCTCTGAAGGTCAAGAACCAAGAATCAGAAAGGAAAAGATCTTGGGAGAACTTCTGGTGGCTTTTCAGGGGCCTGTCAGGAAGCTGGGGAGGGACTTTTGAGCAGGGGCTGTTGGGACAGGACCAGGGGGGATGGTTTGAAACTCAAAGAGGAAAATTTAGCCTAGAGAAAAGGAAGAAATGTTTGACACTGAGGGTGGTGAGCCCCTGGCCCAGGCTGCCCAGAGAGGTGGTCGCTGCCCCATCCCTGGAACCATCCCAGGGGAGGTTGGGGGGGCTCTGAGCACCCTGCTCTAGCTGCAGATGTCCCTGTCCCTGCAGGGGGGTTGGACTAGGTGACCTTGAAAGGTCCCTTCCCACCCAAACCAGTCTGGGATTGTATGAAAAGGTGGAGCTGATGGGTCTGCCAACTTCTTACCACACGCTGCAATCAAGAGATTAACGTTCTTAATGAACATATAATCAGGATTATACACCCATTAGGAAAAAGGCTCACACCTCACAGCTCCAAACAGAATGAGGATTGGTGGAAGCAGCAGGATTCAGGTGGAAGATGTTTCTTTTCACAGAAACACAGCCAAGGAGAGCAGAAGAGAATTCAACTGTGTTATCTCCAGGCAATACTTCCACAAAGCCTCTCTATGTTCTACCCATCATACCACAAACTTTGAACTATACAATATTATTGCTTGGAAGAACTGTTTTGGGGTTATTTTACAAGCTGCTGGGGGAATCAGCAAGCACCAGGGAAGCTCAGCTGCAGCATCTTCTATGACCCTGAGCTCCCAAAGGACCACGAGATCAGAGCTCCACAAGACTGGATTCACTGAACTCAAACAGCTGAGGGACCAAAATGAACCAACACAGCAAAGTGATTCTCCAGCAGAGAGGAGACCAGGGCCACAAAATGAAACCCTCCTAATTGTGACTAAGCCACACACAGATAAAATCTCAATTGTGGGAGTAGAGAGGGTGCATTCTGTGACACCTCCCAGCTTTAGAGAAATCCCCACCTGCCTAGAAATCAATCAGAGCAAGCAGACAGACTGAGGCTGCATCTGCCTGAACCCCTGCAAGGGACAGGGAGCTACAGGACAGCACCAAATCATTTTATAATGCACAAATCATTTTATAATCCTAGAATCATTAAGGGGGGCAAAGGCCTCCAAGATCATCCAGTCCAACCATCAACCCAACACTCCCATGGCCACTAAACCAGGGCCCCAAGTGCCACATCCACACGTTTTCTGAGCCCCTCCAGGGCTGGGGACTCCAGCACCTCCCTGGGCAGCCTGGGCCAATGTCTCACCACTCTGCCAGGAGAGAAATTCTGCCTCATGTCCAATCAAACCTCCCCTGGGGCAGCTTCAGCCCATTCCCTCTTGTCCTGTCCCTTGGGAGCAGAGCCCGACCCCCCCCTGGCTCCAGGCTCCTGTCAGGAGCTGTGCAGAGCCAGAAGGTCTCCCCTGAGCCTCCCTTCCTCCAGGCTCAG